TCCATGTTGGTTCATCAGTTGTACCAAATATGCCACACTGATGAGGGATGCTGAGGGTAGAGGAGTATATGTGTGTGGGTAGGGAGGGCTATGTGCCAACTCTATTTTCTGCTCAATTCTGCTGTGAACCTGAAGCTGCTCAAAAAATAAAGTCTATTAACAAATAAATTATATGTATGTATGTATGTGTGTGTGTGTGTGTGTGTATGTGTGTGTGTGTATATATATATATATATATACATATATATGTAAAGTTACAAGTTAAGATAAAGGCATGGCAAATATAAGTGGGGGAGGTGGGGTGGGGTGGGCAGTGCAGGAAATCCACCTGATGTGGAAAAAGCATTACCGCATAGTCTAGTCAGGGAGATTTTTCAGAGTAATCACAAGAGCCTGCATCTCCAGAAGAGATGATATCAAGCACAAGCAAAGAAAACAAAAACCATGAGCCCTAACAGCTGTATGTACCAGGGTCCTGAGGTGAAAATGATTGGTGGCTTGAAGAGTGTGACTCCCTGGGAGATAATGGGTGAGTGTGCAGGGTGAGATAGGAGATTGGAGAGGTACACAGGAGTCAATCCTCATTGAAGCCTCAGTTGAAGAATTTGGATTTTATTCTGGATGTAAGAGAGAACCATTGAAGAGTCTTAAGGGAAACTCATAATTAGCCGTGTATTTGCCAAAGACTATTCTGGCTAAGCATAAAGAATATGTTAAAAGTGTGGTTATTGCAAATAGCCAACCAAAGCCAAACATCTTTTATTTCAGCTATACATTCATGCATTTGCTTTATATAGCTATTAAAAAACAAAATATGTATACCCACTAATACCCCATCTTTCATGTTTAGGTAGAGTCCCCATCCAACATTCTGCGAAGGTCTTAGAAGCAATCACCAAAGAATTGGATCATTGTGGTTCTAAGAGGTCTAACATAAGGTGTTAGCTCTCTTGGGACAGAGATTCTGGAAGTTAATCTTTGGGAGAGGGAAATGCTCTGATATGCTGTGTTCTTGCCGTTTACTTTTCACATCTAGGTTCTCCTTCCCGAGCTGCTTTTGGTTGTCTTTCAGGCAACTAAAGGAAAACATAAAGGAAGAGACTGTTACCTCCCTCCAAATATTTTCATCTCCTTTTCTAGCTTTCCTTGCCATGAAAACCAAGCCTGCCTTTCCATTTTGTCAGACTTCTCTTTTCCTTTGAAATTGGCAGTTGTAGTTACAGAATGCAATTTGGAAATTGACCACAGGGGCCAGGCTGATGATGGGGCAAAATGTCTGTAGTGTGATCTTTGATCTCAATGTGTCATTTTTAATAATCAGGAAAGTTCCAAGGCTGTAATTGATCAAAATTGGGAATGCAAGTTTCCTGAGTCACCAGAAGAGGTAGGAGGGGACAAAAAGGTAGAAAGACCTTAATAATGGGAGGGTGCAGACTCTCCAGTGAGCCCAAGTAGCATCAGCAGCTTATGAACATCCATGTGCAGTACTAGGACTATCGACCCTGGTCCTCTGAGCCAGAGCAAGGTCCTCCAAACCCTGCTGTCTTGCCATCCATGTACATATAGGGCAATGTAATCTTCACCACTATTCAAGAAATTCTGGGGGGAGTGGATAGCTCAAGTGATAGAGCACTTTCTTAGCATGCGCAAGGTCCTGATTTCAATCCCCAGTACCTCCTCCAAAAATAAAAGTAAATGAATAAACCTAGTTACCTCCCCTCAACAAAATAAATAAAAAAAGAAAAATTTAAAGAAAGAAAAGAAATTTTTGTTGTACATATTACTCTTAGGGTTTTCCCATAAATTAAAATCATTCTTATGAGAATCAAACACAGACTGAATGATGATGTTGTGACCAGGGTGACAATGTGATTACACTGTGGTTATGCAATAGTTAGCAATAGAGCCAGGCTCATAATTCAGTTAATCAATTCTTTCACTACACCTGTTGTACAACAAGCATAGCATTACTTTGGTCTTTTTCCGCTGTCATCAAATCCCCAACATTGGTCTGTTGTCCTGTTTCTACATAGGGCTGCATATAAAATATCTCAGACTATGAGCTCCACACTTGTTTACTGGCTTTATTCAGAGAAGTCATTTCCTCAGTGTTGGTGTTTACAGTTAAAGAAACATTGTTAGATATTGACATATAGGACCACTAAGCAGAGAATAGAATTTGTTAAATACAAAGTAAATCAGATTTGCAGAGGAAGGGACCCTTTTCTTTTACAGAATATATTCTGTTATAGAGATTTCTGGATAATACTCAAAAGTGGTCAGATTTTGATGTAATGATTATTAGTAGGATAGATTGTAAAATCAGGTAAAATTTAATTTCAGCGTCCCTGTCTTCTGTTCTTTTTCTGCCTTCCTAGAGTCCAGTTTTCTCATGATTTCATTTTCCTAAATTGGTCAATGAAGAAAGAATCTACTAAAGTAATTGTCCTTGAGGTTATTAATGATTCACAGATTTAACCTTCTAAGGGATGTTTGTATTTTAAAGTTAAAAAAAATAGGAGCATAAACTTCTTAACTTAGTACGAACCTAGTTAGAGTTTGATGTCATTAATATTACTGAATATAACTGGATGTTAAATGCTGCTGTACATGAAGTAAAAGATTTTTTAAAATCAAGCAGAATTCAGGTAACATCAGACATTGGTGATATACAAAGATTTGTTGACTGAATTAATAAATTATCAATATTCTATCATTAAAATATCAGATACTAAGTTAAGCCTAGAAATGTATGTTTGCCAGAGTACTGAGATAATGGCTGATTTTTCCATATTTTAAGACCTACATGTAAGATCCATAACCAAAAAATTCCTAGAAGGGAATATAGGCAGAATACTCTTTGACATAAATTGTAGTAATATTTTTTGGATCAGTTTCCAAAGGCAAAAGCAATAAAAGCAAAAGCAAACAAAATGGACCTTATTAAACCTAAACATTTTGCACAGCAAAGGAAATCATTGACAAAATGGAAAGACAACCTACAGAATGGGAGAAAATATTTCCAAATGATGTGGCTGACAAGTGGTTAATACACAAACTATATAAAAAGCTCATACAATTCAATATCAAACAAACAACCCATCAAGAAATGGGCAGAAGTTCTGAATAGATTTTTTTCAAAGAAAACATACAGAGGGCTAACAGACACATGAAAAGTTGCTTGACATCACTAATTAGTAGAGAAATGCCAATCAAAGCAGCAATGAAATATCACCTCACACCTGTCAGAATGGCTAGCATCAAAAAAACTACAAATAACAAACGTTGGAGAGGATGTGGAGAAAAGGAAACCATTATACACTGTTGGTGGAAACATAAATTGGTGCAGCCACCATGAAAACCAGTGTGGAGATTCCTCAAAAAGCTGAAAATAGAACTACATATGATCCAGCAATTCCACTCCTAGGTATATATTTGGAAAAAAACCAAAAACACAAACACTAATTCAAAAAGACACACATATTGCAGTGTTTATACAACATCGCTATTCACAATAGCCAAGAAATAGAAACAGCCTAAGTGCCCTCAACAGATGAAAGGATATAGAAGCTGTGAGACATATGTATTTATACTATATCTACTCTATCTATCTATCTATCTATCTATCATCATCTAGATAAAATGGAATATTACTCAGTCATAAAAAAGAATGAATTTCTACCATTTGCAACAAGATGGATGGACCTAGAGAAAATTATGTTTAGTGAAATGTCAGACAGAGAAAGAGTCATACTGTTTGATATCACTTATATATGAAATCTAAAAAATAATACAAATGAATATATACACAAAACAGAAACCAATTCACATATACAGAAAACATTCTAGTGGTTACCAAAAGGGAGAGAAAAGGGGGAGGGACATGTTAAGGGTATGGGATTAAGAGAGAGAAACTACCATGTATAAAACAGATAAGCAACAAGGAGATAGCACAGGAAATTATAGATATTTTCTTGTAGTAACTTTGAATGGAGCATGATCTATAAAAATACTGACTCACTATCCTGTACACTTGAAACTAATATAATATTGTAAATCAACTATACTTCAATAAAAAGTAAATCAAAACAACAACAAAAAGGACATGACAATCAATAAGGTTTTATACCAAACAGGGTAGGCCATCAATACAAAGTCTATTAACATAATTTACCACCTTAGAATCTAAGGAAAAACTTACAAGATTTTCTCAATAGTTTCAAAAAATCCATTTGATAATATTGAGCCCCATTAACAATAAAAATCCTCATAAAATGTATTGTAAGTTGGAACTTCCTTATTTTGATAAAAGCAATATATCAAAAACATACAGCAAGGTTAATAAAAATGAAACAAGAAACAAGTAGGCTTTGCAAGAAATGAAAAGGAAGAGAAAAATCTTTAACTTTATAGCTGATGTGTTAACTATGTAGAAAACCCAGTAACATTAACAAACCATTAAAATAAATGAGAAAGTCAGCAAGGCTGGTGGACACAAAATGACCTTACAAAAGTCAGTAGCATTTCAACAATACCAGGCTAGAGAATAATGCACTTCATAGATTTGCTGTTTTAAATGGTATCTCGAAATCAACCTAACAAAAGAATGCAAGAAAAAAACAAAAATTACAACTCTATTAAAACACATTAAAGAGTTGAATAAATACAGTTACAAACAATTTTTGATTGGAATAGTGTATTTGCATTAACATAGCATTTTTTGCCCTCTAGGTAGTCAATGTTATCCCAATCAGAATTCAAGCTGGCACTTCTGATAAAATTAACAAATTAAATTTTTAATGAGTATGGGAGGGAAAAGTCCTCAAAGAGCTAAATCAATTTTGAAACAAAGAGTGATGAAGAGAGCATGTTCTGGACACAGTTGATGGGCAATGCAACATCTATTCTACCTTCTTTTCAGAGAAAGGAAAGCAATTACCATCTTCCTCTGACTCATGTTTCCACCAATATTCAAGCTGCAAATTAGGTGCTGCCCAAAGTGAGAAGAGGCCTTTTTATGGCTCTTCCTCTGAAAATCAGGCTCACAGAGGAATTTTCTCCACATAAACATTCTGGTGTCCATTCTCCAGCCTCATAGACATTGTTGGTAGGGGGTGCAGAATTCTTAAATGGACAGTCCTTCTAGAAGCCTCCTGGGCAGGAGGGGCTCCCCTCAGTCAGTTCTGTAGGGTGAGAGTATCTTTATAAGAGGCCCAGCCTCAAACCTACAACTTCAGTCATTCCAATGATTTTTGTAAGCACCAAATTCTTTATATTAAAACCCATCTTACTGGGGGAAAAAATCTGCTCTGCCTTATATTTCTTATGTCAAACCTCTATGATGTCATTGAGGATAGCATCACACCAGATACCAAGTCATACTACAAAGTCATAATAATAAAAACTGTATGCTGCCAATAAAGATATAGGCCAATTTTTTTTAAATTGAGTACAAAGAAACAGAACCATCTATATGTAGAAACTTGAATATAATAAAGAAGGAACTACAGTTCAAAGAGAAAAGAGTGGCTCTTCTAGTAGATGAAATCGCAAAATGTGGCTTAGTTTTAGAGAGAGAAAAAAGCAAAATTCCTAATTTAAGCTATATACTAATAGGGATTGATGATGTAAATAACAAAGTCAAAGAAATGTCAGAATAATAGCTTTGTCATATGAGAATGGGGAAAAACTTCTTCAGTTCCACTCCTAGGAAATTACTCAAAACACATATCCACAAAAGCATTTGTACGTGAGTATTTTTAGTAGCTTGATTCATTGCAGCCAAAAATCAGAAGCAACTCAAATGCTATGAATAGAAGAATGTATAATCATAATCTTGTATATTTGCACCTGAATAAACTCTGGAACATTAAACAATAAAAAAAGAATGAACTTTGGTACACGCAATGTGGATGAATCTCTTCATTAATGTTAAGTAAAAGATAAATGCAAGAGTATATTCTTTTGTACGGGACCATTTACAAAATGGCAAACATGGGAATAGAAACCAGAACAGTGTTTGGAGGTGACTGACTGACAAGAGGCATGGAAACTTTCTGGGATAATGAAAAAATTACATATATATCATGATTTGGGTACCAGTTATATGGGTATCCACATTTGTAAAACTCAAGTCTTACACTTAACATTTGCTCATTTCACTATATGCAAATTTTGCTTTAATATAGAAATCAATGAAAGGAAATTTAATTATTTTGAAAGCACCAAATCACAAACCATGAGGCAAAAAGATGACAAATTTTATAATATCAACATTTAGGATTTCCAGTAAATAAAAAATGTAACTAGCATATAGATGCTCAGTAAGAACAGGTATTTGTAATAGCTAACAGAGATTCTTTGTGTGAGCCAACATTAGTCGTCTCCTGAACCTCCTCCTAGTCCCGTCTATGCACTTCCTTGTAAAATCCAGTTTTAACAAGAATCTTGCTATGAAACTTTTACTAGAAACCTCGCCCCTGATAGCTCAAATTCTTCATCCTCCACCATCCCCCAAGTAATATCTGATCATCCCGGCCTGTCTTCAGCAAGAATTCACTCAGGTTGGTTTAGCCGAACCACCTTTATCCCTATTTCTTCTTAGCAATTTTTCACCCACTGACCACCCCCCCAACTCTCTTCCATAGTTATAAATCCCCACTTGCCCATGCCATACTTGGAGTTGAGCCCCATCTCTCTCCTAGACTGTAAAATCAGGTCTTCTTTGCCATCTTTCACATGTGTCATTGAGTATTTTTTACTTTAACTTGGCTAACACTCAAGAGGTGAGTCTGCAGTATTCAAAAGGTGCTTGCTAATCCACAAGAATGCAAGAAACCAAATTAAAAAAGAAAGATGAGTAAAGGATTTGAACAGTAAACATTTGAAAGAAGCTTTGGTGCCTAACGAGCATATGAATAAATACAGAAAATCACCAACAAACAACCAGAAAAATGAAAATTAAAATAGCACTTGGATACAAATTTATATTAAAATGAATGAATGGCAGAATTAGGAAACATGCGTGTTCCAAGTGTAGGAATGGATGTGGAGATGCAGAAGCTATCCAGAAAGGGGGAGTAGAAGGTGCAGCCTCTTCTTAGAAAAGAAACAGGGTGCATTCCAGGTCACTCCTTCCAAAGGGATGTAAGAGGTGTGTTCTCAATGTCCACAGAAGGACTTTGGTGCGAGGGTTGGCAGTGAATGAATGGTATGAAGTGAGTGCAGATAATGAACACGCAGAAGCAGCTACATAGCAGATGCACTTACTCTAACAATTACAGATCTCAAAGATATTGATTAGTAAAGAAAGTAAATAATAGACTCATTTGACATCATATTATCATTTGTATCTATTCAAATTTTAGATAAATAGATCCATTCTCTCTAAGGTTACAGGTGAAATATGCTAAAATTGATACTTAGGGGAACAGGAGTGAGATTGAGAATCAGGGAGGAAGGAGAAAAAATAGTGAGAATGGTCTTGCATAGGTGAAAGTTGATAATAGGTTAAGAACTGGGGAGTATGGAATGGACCTTGAGGGCATTATGCTAAATAAAAAAATCAGACAGAGAAAGACAAATACTATATATGTGATCTCACTTATATGTGGTATCTTAAAGTCACCAGCACATAGATACAGAGAAGAGATTGATGGTTGCCAGAAGTGAGGGGTGGCAGGGAGTGAGAGAAATATGTGAAGGTGGTCAAAAGGCACAAAATTCCAGTTATAAAATAAATAAGTCTTGGGGATGTAACGTACAGCACAGTGGCTACAGTTAATAACACATTATAGATTTGAAAGTTGCTAATAGAGAAGATCTTAGAAGTTCTCATCACACGCAAAAAACTGCAACTGTGTGAGGTGATCAATGTTAACTAAACTTACTGTAGCAATTATTTTGCAGTATAAACAAATGTTAAATTATTATGCTGTACACCTGAAACTAATACAATATTATATGTCAATGACATCTCAATAAAACTGGGGAAAATAATAAACAATAACAAATAATAATATAATAAATAATAAATAATACAACATAATATATATTATAAAATATATAAAATATAAATATACAATGATTAATAAAATAAATAAATAAGAACTTGGGAGTATGGTTAATTTTAAAAATAGACAAAAGAATCTCATGACAGGGGCTTAAACCAAGGCCATCTTAACACTTGCTACCACTTTTTAGCACTCCTCAGTTTCTCTCTTCGTGGTGATTTCCTTATTCTTTTCTCCACTTTTAAAGCACCTGCAACTTTATTAAAAATTGAATGAAAATGGCAATGCAAAATACTTCTCAGTGGTCTCAAAGAAGAGTTAGTTTTGAAAATCTCTAGCCCATTCTTTCTTTATTTTTTTGGAAAACGTAACAGCATCACCGAAATTTGTTAGATTCTACCTTTGCTTAAATATTAGCTAATAAGAATAAAGAGGGAAAGTCTATGTGATCACCTACACGAGGAAAATTCACCTGCTTCAGCCTTGGGACTTTGCCTCAGATGCTCCAGTCTCTGATGTCTGGCCAAGCACTTGATACATTTAAAATGTAATGGCAGAATTCATCTTCATTTATAAACTGACTATACTTCAAGTAAAAAATAAATTAATTTTTTAAAAAGTAATGGCAGAATGTTGAGACAATGAATCAAGTTTGTCTTAAGGCCGATTTTCCTATATTTTGTTTACTATCTCTCCTTTCTAAAGTCAGGGGCACACTAAAGCTTTATTCTCTGGGAAATATCCAAGGTTTTAATTTGATTATTTTAGTCCTGAGCAGGAATGCATGGCTTCTTTATGAACAGTTATAGAGATTCAGTTATGAAGATTTCTCCAAAAACCTTCTACAAGTTCTAAATCCATCTTGTCTGAAGAAATTAAGACTGTGTCTAATTCCACCAGAGGCAGTATAGATTTTCTGTTATTGAATCTTCCTTTAAACTATCACCTTTGAAAGTCTGGGTCATAGAGAGATCATAAGATACTCAAGATGATCAAGAACAATAAAACTATCAATCTATAGTTCTGAAGTTTTTTATGCCATTATTAAGAAATTGTCCTATTATTTTTCGTCAATTAGGGCCTGTTTGCGTGATGTGTTCATAGGTACACACAAACTTCAGATAGATAGGTAGATGATGTAGAGGAGAAAAACTTATCCTCTGCTTTCTTTAGGCCTCTGGCTGGGCCTAAAATTAAATTGACATAAGACAGATTAACAGGAGAAAAGCATACAAATTTTATTTGATTTTTGCATATACATGGGAGCCTTCACAAGAGAATGAAGACCAGAAGAAACAAGCAGAACAGGAAGCTTTTATACCTTTTAGACAAAGAAACAAAACATCTGTGAAGAATTGACAAGGCAGAGGGGTTTAGGCTAAGGGAAATAAATGGTGAAGATGTAACACAGTTTGTTTATATAGCTTTCTTGGTCCTCAGTTCCTTGTCTCTGGTGATAAGAATTTCTCCCTTCCTCCTGGTACAGGAGAGCATCTTTCAAGTGAGCAATTTAGCTCATGCTTTCAGGGAAGAGCGGAAAGGGTGAGGAGGTCAGAATAACTGTCCTGCTTCTGCTGTTTCCTCAAACTCCTTCAGCTTAAAATAGTCTATATACCAAGATGCTGCATTT